TATGACAAAAAAATATCTTTACATAAATTTAAAAACTCATCAAATATTATTAATAAAGATGGATTTTATTGTTGGACTTATTATTTTTATAAAATAATATAATTATAAACAATATTTTAAAATATTATAAATTTATAATATAATATATCATTATATAATTATTTTTTTTTATTTTAATACACATAATATTATATATTTTTTAAAAATTTAATAACACATTATATTTATTTAATAATATACTATAATTATATATTTACAAATTTTTATATAGCTTCGCCATTATTGTTTAGGCTATACCCAAAATGTCGTTTTTCTTGCTCACATCACAATTTCATCCATTCAATGTAGAAGACAAAAAATTTTATTTTATCTTTCCAAATTTAATTTGCCCTTTATCACTTTGGTCATTTTGTCTCTTTCCTAGCATGTGTGTAGTCTTCTAACAGCTCCATCTTGCTCATCGGAAGACTTCCGGTGAACATCCGGGGAAAAATCCTTTGTTGGGGTACCGGGTTTGGGATGGAATTGGGAGTTCCTTGTCTTGATTCTTATTTAAATTTGAGATTTCAGAGATTCAGCTTCAAAGAGGCCCTTTGCAGTAAAAACTCAGGGAGAACCATAGAAAGATGGAATGGGTCTCTGGGTAGTAGATGACTGTGGGTTCTGATCCGCCATTAATGCTTCCTTTGATGTCACTACTCTAGATCTTTAATGCAGCAAAACTCTGAAATGATGAAATGTTTACTTCACACAGTTCAATAAAAATCACATTAAATGCACGCATACTCTCACGAAAATTGAAATGCCTCCTAATTCCTAAATCTGTGGTCTCCATGATAGAACTATGAAAATTCCAATTTTTTTTAATATATAAAAAGACTTGATTTCTCAAATCCTTGTCTTTTTTATTTTCTTCTTCATACAAGTTTGAACAAGAAATGAGTTGAAATGATGAATGTCAGACCACCATGAAAGACACTTGCTTTTTCTGATGTAGAAAGAATTCGAAGAGCCGGATGAGTGCTGGAAAGAAGACAAAAATGACGAAAACGATAAAGTGCCAAGTTGGAAGGATAAATAAATGGTGTTGTACTTTAAAAATGTTTGGTGCAAGGGAAAAAAATGAATAGACGATTTGAATTTTTTTTCTTTTTTGTGAATTAGGTTATAGTGTTTAAAAAATATTATAATTTAAATAATTAAAATTTTTTCTATTTTTTATTATTTTTATAAATTAAAAATTTTATTAAATTGAGTAGATAAAATGATAATTTGATAATATAGGATTTTTT